GCATTGCACAACACGGGTGCACTTACCTACATGCAGGCAATACACGAATACTCATAAAATAAAAATAAAATATTTTAAAAAATAGAAAGAAGAAACCTAGATATAAATTTCAGCTATTCTCTACAGAATCATTACTGTGCATCTCATTGTGGCCTTCCCTTAGGATATTCTTACATTTGAGGTTCAATCCCAAATTCTTACATGCTGGGCCATGAGAGGATGTCCTATATATAAATATGACATCAATCACCAAGCCATGTCCAGGAATACTCTATCCAGGCCATTATTCTGTGGGTCTGAGATTTAAAAAGAAAAGGGGAAAAGGGGGGAGGGCAGTGAGCTGACTCAGTGGGTAAATTAAACACCTGTTATGCAAACCTGATAACCTGAATTTGATCCTCAGATCCCACAATAGAAGGAGACAACTAACTACACAGTGAGTTCCAGGCCAGCTGGGGAGACCCTGTCTCAAAAAGACCAATAAATAAATACATAAATAAATTTTATTTATTTATCCACTTGCCTCTGCCTCCCATGTGCACTGTGGCATGCACATGCCTGTATTAATGCACACACATCATACACACATAATGAAATGTTTCTTGAATTGGGCATTGTTCCATATAACAGTCCTGATACCACAGAATCATCCATCCTCCGCCTCTGTTTAAAGGAATAGAGCAGTCATGTGGAATGGTGGGTAGATCATAGAAAGCTATCAATTCATGTCCTCATGTGGGAAGAAAAAGGGGTACAAAGAGGGACGGAGAGAAAGTGCCTCTGACATACAGTGTAGCCATATACAAAGTTTACAATGGGAATGAAGGAATCAGGAAATCAACAGTTCAAAGCAGAAAGGGGAACAAAAACACCAACAGTGGTGCAAATTCGTGCTAATTTTGACAAAAATATTTCTCCAACTAACACATAAACTTTTACCATATTGTTTCCTAAGATTTGTGTAGTAATGACTGAATTAAAAATACAAAAGCAGCCAGGCGTGGTGGTACACGCCTTTAATCTCAGCACTCAGGAGGCAGAGGCAGGCGGGGCTCTGGGGGGTCAAAGCCAGCCTGGGCTACATAGTGAATCCAGGCCAGCTGGGGCCAGAGGGGGACCCGCTCTCAAAAAGACCCAAAAAAAAAAAAAAGCTTCCAACAACTGGGGACACAGAGCCAGGCAGATCTCTGTGAGTGCAAGGCCAGCCTGGTCTACATAGTGAATCCAGGCCAGCTGGGGGGAGAGGGAGACCCTGTCTCAAAAAGACCAAAAAAAAAAAAAAAAACGAAACCCAAAACTGAAGAGACTATACTACCCCCCAAATCTATAAATACTGCGGATCCCTAGTTCTGCTTGATCATTTCAGTAGTTTGAACTCTACAACTGGCTCTAGGCGACAAAGGAAAGAAACAGCAGCATATGGGAGGAGAACTGGAATTTGCCCAGAGAAAATAAACATCTGAAACTCCCCCTTTCTTTATAAAGCACACTCAGATAATAGCAACTGATTATATGATCTTAATAGCACAGATAACCCGGGGAGGACCACCGCACAGCAGGCAGGAGGGAACTAAGAAAGCAGACACCAAGAGCCTGAATCAACAGTTCACATTCCACTTAAAGACAAAGAGCCAGAGCTACCAACACAAGGCCTCAGAAATCTCAGCTCTGGGCAAAGAACAGTCTCCCTATGATTACACTGGGGACTGATAGTTTCCAAATAACTGGCCTTAAAATATTTCAAGAAGTGGGCAGAAGACAGAGGCAGTTTCTTCCCACTGCAGTATATTTCTAACATAGTTCAAAATAGCTGGCAACATGTTTCCGTTTTCTTGACAGAAGGCACTTACTGCTTGGTTGGCAAGAAAATCAACTGAGAAGACTTAACTGCAAGGAGGCCAATCAAAGCTCTCCTACAAGGGCACAAACAAACCTGTGACTCAGGTAATTACCAAAAGCAAAGCTTTTCAAGGCACACCTGTGAGCCGGGCATTAGCAGCACATGCCTTTAGTCCCGGTACTAAAGAGGCAGAGGGAGACAAGCCTTGTCTGCATAGAATTCAAGGCCAGCTGGGTCTCCAAAAAAAATCCAGTCACACCTGTAATCCCGGCACTCAGGAGATAGAAGCAGGAGGATTAGGTTCAAAGTTATTCCTTTTTTTTTTTTTTTAAATAGGTATATGTTATGCCTGCATGTATGTTACCTGTGTCATGCAGTGCTCTTGGAGAAAAGAAGAGGGCATTGGAGCCCCTGGAACTGGAGTTATAGATGGCTGCTAGCCTCAATGTGGGTGTTGGAATTCAAACCCAGATTCTACAAGTGCTCTTATAACTGCTGAACCATCTCTTTAGCCCCTCAAAGCTATTCTTGATTACACAGAGTCTGAGGCCAGGTTGTGCTACATGAGACCCTACCTGAAAAAACTAAGGGCAAGGCTGGAGAGATAGCTCAGCAGTTAAGAGCACTTACTGTTCCTTACTGCTCTTTTTTTATTTATTTTTTATGTGTATGCATGTATTGCCTGCATGTAAGTGCACCCGTGTCGTGCAATGCCCGCAGAGGACAGAAGGGGCTGTTGGAACCCCTGGAACTGGAGTTCCAGACAGTTGTTAGCTGCCATGTGGGTGCTGGGATTCAAACCTGGGTCTTCCTTCTGCAAGAACAACCAGTGTTCTTAACCACTGAGCCATCTCTACAGCCTCCTCCTTACTGCTCTTGTAGAGGACCCTTGTCCAGGCAGCTTACAAATGCCAGTAATTCCAATTCCAGGGTAGCTACTGCTCTGGCTTCTGCAGACACTTCATTCATGTGCACAAAGACACACACACACAGACACACACACTTTAAAACAACACATTTTTTTAAAATTAATTATTTTTTGTCTATTTGAGACAAGGTCTTCCTATAGTCCCAGCTGGCCTGGAACTCACTATGTGGACCAGGCTGGCCTCGAACACACAGGGAGCTGCTTACCTCTGCTTTCCAAGTGCTGAGATTAAATGTGTTCACCACCAAGTCTGGCTAAAATAATGAATCTTGAGGCTATGAGCACTTGCTGTAAAAGTAAGAGAACCTGGGGCTGGAGAGATGGCTCAGTAGTTAAGAGCACTGACTGCTCTTGCAGAAGACCTGGGTTCAATTCTCAGCACCCACACAGTGGTTAACAACCATCCTTAATTCCAGTTCCAGGGGATCTGACGCCTTCTTCTGACCTCCTCGGGCACTGCGAGACATTGGTGCACTTATATGCAGGCAATACACTCATACACATAAAAAATAAAATTGCCGGGCATGGTGGTGCACAACTTTACCCCCCAGCACTCGGGAGGCAGAGGCAGGTGGATCTCTGTGAGTTCAAGGCCAGCCTGGTCTACATAGTGAGTTCTAGGCCAGCTGGGGCTA